GACTGGCAGGAGCAGGGACAGGAATAGCTTCATTATCTTTGCAGGGCCAAGGGCTCTCCTCCCTGCGGGCCGCTATAGATGAAGACATAGTCCGCATAGAAGAATCAATTAGTCACTTAGAAAAGTCTTTGACATCCTTCTCTGAAGTGGTTTTGCAAAATAAGAGAGGGTTAGACTTAATCTTTCTCCAACAGGGTGGGGTCTGCGCGGCTCTGGGAGAAAAATGTTGTTTCTATGCAGACCACACAGGAGTGGTAAGAAAATCTATGGAAAAAGTAAGAGAGAGACTTGCACAGCGAAAGAGGGAACGAAGCCCAACAGGGATGGTTTGAATCTTGGTTTCAACACTCCCCCTGGCTGACCACCTTGGTCTCCACCCTCCTGGGCCCACTCATAGTGTTGATATTGATGCTGACATTTGGCCCTTGTATCTTAAACCGGCTAGAGTCATTTATTAAAGAACGTATAAACACCATTCAGATTATGGTGTTAAGACAGCAATATCAGCCAGTGGCCCAAGACGGTGAAGAGAAAGATTCCTCTACAGGAACAAGACAGGGGGGAATGTGAGACTGTCAAGACTAACACCATGACAGTCACCCTGAACTAAGAGTAGGCCTAAGTTTCAGTTTCTCCCGAAGGGAGGGTAATTATCTTCCCTCAACAGGCCGCCAGAGACCAGCTAATCAGTACGCGCCCAGTAAACCTCCGAGAAGGTCCCCTGGAAAGTCCCGAGCGCGCGAAAGTTTGTACCAATAAAATTGCTTTGCAAACATGTAACCAATCCGCTTGCGCCCACTGCCCACTGCTTATGTTTGAAATCGAGCACCCTATAAATGTGCGTGGAAACTGGGGCTCGGGGCTCTCTGACTTTGCACCACTGCGTTGGTTGCAGCAGGGGCCCTGGCTCGAGTCAGCAATAAATTTCCCTTCCTTTGAGTGTTGCATTGTCATAGAGGTCTTATCTTTTCCTGTTGGTGGATTCAGACAGCGGGCATAACACTGTGAACCAATCTGTCGAAGCTGCCTGTGAGGTACCCAAATCGGGGGCTGATTTCGAGCAAGTTGGACTTAAAAACTTCAACTCTGAAAACCCCAGCTTATCACCAAAAGAACAGAACTCTGCTTCCTGTCTGACAATAATGCCAACCCAGGAGTTGAGTTTTAGTTTCAAAGGTGCTGATTTTCTGTGACCATTCTATGTGTTAAATCTTCTTATCCCACTTTTGAAGAAAGTAAAACTGGGACCTGGAGATGCCCAGTTACCTGCCCTCAGGGCCAAGCAGCAAGGAGCACAGGCCTGAGTCAGTTGCTGCCGGGCACCACCGCTTCCTCCCTGAGCCTCACTTTCCCCATCTCTAAAATGGGTATGAGAATAGACCTTCCTCTGAGGATGACTAAGCTAATCCAGGTAGCATATAGCATTGTGACTGGCATTACACGTACAGGACTGCTGCTGCTGGTGTTGGGATAGGTTTATTTAAGTGATCCAGTCTAACTCCAGAGGCGGAGCCCTCAGGCTGGGATGTGTGTGTGTGTGTGTGTGTGTGTGTGAGAAGGGCCACCTGCCCTCCAGCTGTCAACTCAGTGGGGATCAAGACTGATATTGAATTAATTACCTGAAAACAGGATAAGAACCATTCATAGGGACTTTCCTGGAGGCCCCTTTGGATATTCCCATTTGAATGCAGAGTTCCAAAGAATAGCAAGAAGAGATAAGAAAGCCTTCCTAAATGATCAATGCAAAGAAATAGAGGAAACAATAGAATGGGAAAGACTAGAGATCTCTTCAAGAAAATTAGAGATACCAAGGGAACATTTCATGCAAAGATGGGTTCGATAAAGGACAGAAATGGTATGAATCTAACAGAAGAAGAAGGTATTAAGAAGAGGTGGCAAGAATACGAAGAAGAACTATACAAAAAAGATCTTCATGACCCAGATAATCACGATGGTGTCATCACTCACCAAGAGCCAGACATCCTGGAATGTGAAGTCAAGTGGGCCTTAGGAAGCATCATTATGAACAAAACTAGTGGAGGTGATGGAATTCCAGTCGAGCTATTTCAAATCCTAAAAGATGATGTTGTGAAAGTGCTGCACTTGGTATGCCAGCAAATTTGGAAAACTCAGCAGTGGCCACAGGACTGGAAAAGGTCAGTTCTCATTCCAATCCCAAGGAAAGGCAATGCCAAAGAATGTTCAAACTATTGCACAATTGCACTCATCTCACATGCTAGCAAAGTAATGCTCAAAGTTCTCCAAGCCCGGCTTCAACAGTGCGTGAACCGTGAACTTCCAGATGTTCAAGCTGGTTTTAGAAAAGGCAGAGGAACCAGAGATCAAATTGCAAACATCCACTGGATCATCAAAAAAGCAAGAGAGTTCCAGAAAAACATCTGTTTCTGCTTTATTGACTGTGCCAAAGCCTTTGACTGTGTGGATCACAACAAACTGTGGAAAATTCTTCAAGAGATGGGAATACCAGACCACCTGACTGCTTCCTGAGAAATCTGTATACAGGTCAAGAAGCAACAGTTAGAACTGGACATGGAACAACAGACTGGTTCCAAATCAGGAAAGGAGTATGTCAACACTGCATATTGTCACCTGTTTATTTAACTTATATGCAGAGTACATCATGCAAAATGCCGGGCTGGATGAAGCACAAGCTGGAATCAAGATTGCCAGGAGCAATATCAATAACCTCAGATGTGCAGATGACACCACCCTTATGGCAGAAATCGAAGAAGAACTAAAGAACCTCTTGATCAAAGTGAAAGAGGAGAGTGAAAAAGTTGGCTTAAAGCTCAACATTCAGAAAACTAAGATCATGACATCTGGTCCCATCACTTCACAGGAAATAGATGGGGAAACAATGGAAATAGTGACAGACTATTTTTTGAGCTCCAAAATCACTGCAGATGGTGACTGCAGTCATGAAATTAAAAGGCGTGCTCTTTTAATTTTACCAAGACGTTGGCTCGAGCAGCAGGAACAGATCAAAGAACACTGAGAAAAGGCCCCTCCATGAATCTGCTTGTTCTTTGAAAAGAAAAGCTCTGCCCAACCTAGACAGCTTATTAAAAAGCAGAGACATCACTTTGCCAACAAAGGTCTGTCTAGTCAAAGCTATGGTTTTTTCCAGTAGTCATGTATGGATGTGAGAGTTGGATTATAAAGAAAGCTGAGCACCGAAGAATTGATGCTTTTGAACTGTGCTTGGAGAAGACTCTCGAGAGTCCCTTGGACTGCAAGGAGATCCAACCAGTCTATCCTAAAGGAGATCAGTCCTGAATATTCTTAGGAAGGACTGATGCTGAAGCTGAAACTCCAATACTCTAGGCTCCTGATGTGAAAAGCTTACTCATTTGGAAAGACCCTGATGCTGGGAAAGAACAGAAGACACCAAGAGAGATGGAAAGGTGGGCATGGGGATGGAGCCTGGACCACAAAGAGGAGTCTGACCTCAGCAGTCTGAGAAGTCGGTGCGAGCAGCAGGAAGAGATCAAAGAACATTGACAAAAGGCCCCTCCCTGAATCCGCTTCGGGTCCTCACCAGCCCTGGCATCCTCACCTGTGTTCCCGTGTCCCCCCGGAGAGGTTCCTCTTACACCGCGGCATCTCACAGGAAGTCCCTCGAACCCCGAAGCCTCAGTGCGGCTCTAGCAACCAGGAAGCTCCCTGCCACCAACCAGAGCTAGTCAGTGCTGGTCTGCTGCCTGCTCTAGCTGGGGCCGGGATCCCCCAGAGACTAAGGCCCCACAGAAGAACTTTTCAGGTCCGGCTTGTCCTCTGAGTACCATAGGATAAGATGACAT